AAAATTTGCAATTTTCTTCATTTTATCATTCTTTTCTCCCCTGCAAAGTTCCACTTTATCTACATTTGTTTCAATAGTTGCATTTTTATGAAAACAAGTAACTAATACTTTAAATAAGGGCTATGATTCATCAAAGACATGCTGAATTACATATGAAAGTTCAATTTCATCAAATCAGAAGAAAGTTTTCCATTTTGAAGGCTATTCTCAAGAATCTCTGTTCACATTTTAATTCTTTTTTATTAACTTTATTTATTATTATCATAATCTTTTTTTATTTATATTGAATCACATATATCTTTACAGTGTATTTATCACATTTCTTTTTCTAGCAGAAATACCATGCATATCAGTCAAGACAAAGACATTATTATTCACATCATCAACATCAAATAGCTTTTGAACATTTTTTTAGATTATTGTTATTATTGTTTATTCTCATTTTTTAAAACATTCAATCACTATATATCGTTTGCCTTGTAAAAATAATTTACCCAATATTAAATACTTCTCAGACCAGTCCAGTAGAGACTACTATACATGTTATCATCAATAGGTAATAAACCATTTCTGTGTCCCACTAATGTCATGCCTCTCTATGTTCTCTTGCCATCCTTTTCTATATTCTTCCCTTCTCCTGTCCGGTTCCACACTGTCTTCAGCATCTATAACTATTTTCACTGCTTTTATGCCCTCCAATATTTCCATCTCTACCAAAAAGTGCAGATAGTAGGTATGTATTAAGTGGATACATACAATATCTTTCTTTCATATCCTGACTTGCTTCACTCAGCAATAGATCCTCCATTCAACCACTTTCTATCAAACATTAGGGTCTTGCTTTTTATGGCTGAATAGCATTCCATAGAGTATATGTGTCACACTTTTTCAATCCATTCATCTGTTTGTGGACATTTGGGTTGGTTCCATGTCTTAGCGATCATGAATGCTGTAATAAACATTGATGTGCAAGCACTTTTCCAACTGAGCATTGTCCTGTCTTTTGGGTAGATAACCAGAAATGGGATTGGTGGATCAAATGGTAGTTCTATCTGTAGATCTCTGAGGAAACTTCATGTTGTTTTCTTTTTTTGGAGAGTTTTTTTGCTGTAGGGCATGTGCGCTTGCCAGAAAAACAGAGAGAGACAGAGAGATAGAAAGCGAGAAATCACCCCCAAGGGGGGATGGCCATGCCACAATCCCTTCTATTCCATTCTCCTCTCAGG